CAAATCCCAATATTTGTGTACCATTCTCCCACAGCGGGTCAAAAATTTGAATAATTACATTAACAAGTACAAGACATTTTGACAATAGGTTTCGAACTGTAAAACAAAAACATACAATATAAAAACAAAACAACTTGGAATATTCCCAACATTCCGACTACTAAACGCATTTATTTAAAAGTTAATGTGATATGCGACCATACAAATTGCGTAGTCGATCAAACGATGCAGGTCCACCCGTGTAGAAAGTGTGCAAGAAAACTCTATATATCCTCGATTTGGTACATTGTATTATCACTCTCTCTCTCTCTCTCTCTCTCTCATCAAGTCAGCAGGTCGGCCATATCTGTCCACTTCTTCTTGTGCACACCCCACAATAGTTTAAAAGATTGCCATAAAAATATTAAATTCTCATCGAGGGTGAAGAGATACTCCGTTATAGTTCCAATCCGATACATAATATAATATTTATATCAGACTAAGGTCAGGTGGTAAAATAGGCAATATTGCTTCACTCGTTTGTATATCTTCACACATAAAAGTACGTTTGGAATATCAACTCTTGAAAAGTGTGAAATCAATGTCCGATTTTCTACATCCCACATCCAATATTTTCTGCATTGAGTCACACATGATGGTGTATCACATGCAGTATACTCGTATATGTCCACTCTTTCTGGTAATACCCTCATGATGGGTATATCGTACACATGGCTCAATAAGAAAGGTTGCTCAATTTCAAAGAAACTAGAAAAGCTCAACTCTGTGCTGGAGTCTTATAGTGTCAAATAGGTTCTTAAATATGCAACAGTTGGTCTTGTTTATTTTTAATTTTTTTTAACAACATTCTTATATTTTGTGAGAAAAACCCGCGAAACTAAAATTTAATTTCGGGGTCATTCCACAAGATGGATTCTTACATAGTAGGACAATACAGTTTTATCATAAAATTAAATGATGTGTTACCCATTTACGTCGAAAATTTGCATTTATTTTGCAAACAAGTTTGAAATAATTTCATATTATTGTATTTTTTATTCAAAACCATACACACACATAGACAAAATGTGTATATGTTTTGACAGAATAAGAACACCAAAAGAAAAAAATTGTATTTGGGGGGTAGCTTTGTTCTACCATCTGTAATTGTGCCATGAGTTAATGGTTATATGCTGAGGGCAATCGGCAATATCGGGATGTATCGGCAAATGAGGCAGGAGGAGGGAGAGAAAATGATGCCTACTGAATATCGAAAGGTACAGTTTGTAATTATGTTTTCTTCCAACATGAACACAAACTCCCTGTCCCACGACGGACAGACAGAACTTGTAACTCAAAATTGATCAAGAATATATTGTGGGATCTATTTCGAGTAATTACAAGCGGTATGGTAAACCCATGGTACAATAAAAAATGTAAAGGCAATCTCATTTCAAATTAGCATTTCCCAGCTTAGCTTTTTCTGTAATTTACCTTGTCAAATTTCAATGCATAAAAACAGTTCCCATCTCTGATTTTGTGTGTATACAATGGATTTACGAATGTAGATCTTGACAATGAGATGTTGTCAAATGTATAAATTTGAAAAAAATTTAATCATATGATTACAAGACTCTACCTTCTCAGTTCTACCATGAGTACAACAGAGGTAGTCGCATCGACGCAGCTGCTGGGACAATGAACTGTCAAACCTATTTTGAAATTAAAAATCTTAAATGAAAAATTATTCAGATTTGTTAAAATTTGTAGAAAATGCATATTATAACAACCTTCTATTGTTGTCGTATAAAAACACTTATAAAAATCTACTTATTTTTGAAAAAAAAAAAAAATCATTTTAGGAATTTTGACATACAAATAATTCTAAGCTAACTTGAATAGGGCAACCCTTTTCTGAAGTGCCCAACCCTGTAATTTTTCAAATAAAGTTTATTTTCATATGGAAAGAAGGGTATATTACATTTGTCATTCCGTTTGTAACACCCCTTAATATTCGTCCTAGACCCAATAAAGTATATATATTCATGATCAGCATAAAATTCTAAGTCGAACGTAACGTATTCGACGTAGAGCTTTCATATTTGGCACAGTACTTCATATTGTATCTAGGAAGGAAGGCCACCTCCCAATACGTAGGGAGCGCGTACACCCCATAGTCCGCACCATGAAGGGTTAGTATTGTAGGAAAACACCAGCTACAGTAAAACCTCAGCCGGTATTAGTAAAAGGATTAGTATTACAAAGCACACAACAACGAGCAAAAATACAAATCTGGCAGCTCCTAATACTATAATTACCAATTAAGTATTGATAGTTTTTTGCATGCAAAGGTTCAGATAGTGATAAATTATTATAGAGGTTGTTATATTTTTCACATAAAGATCTAAGGGGGTTGCTTAGTTCGTAGTTAGATCTTTAATTACTAGTTATTCTAGACGGAACATTAAACTTTATTTCGCTAATTAAAAATTGTGAATCAATTTGACCACGCAAAAGTCGTATTAAAAATATTGCTCTAAGCATTAAACGCCTTCTTTCTAACGATGGAAGGTCTATACGTTTTAATCGATTTTCATAGGGGAGGAGTGCTTCAGCCTGATTCCAGGGCAGACCTTTGAGAGCGAATATAATGAATTGTTTTTGAACTGCTTCTGTTGTATTAGAGTAACATTTATAAAATGGATTCCACAACACGCAACCATACTCTAATGTAGGTCGAACTAGACTAGTAAACAAGCGTTTAGTTACGTAAGGGTCTTCAAACTCCTTAGACCAGCGCTTAATAAAACCTAGAAGAGACTTTGCTTTATTAACGCTAGACTCAATGTGTAAGTTGAAACGAAGTTTATTGTCCAAAATAACACCAAGATCAATAAATGAGTCTACATTTTCCAATTTGTATGAACCTACGAAGTAATCAGATTGAATATGTCTAGATCTGAATAATAATAATTTTTTGCATTTTTTAAGATGTAGTGACATGCCATTTATTCCACACCAATTTACAATGGAATGTAGATCATGTTGTAAATGTAATGAGCTATTGAGAGAATCGAGATTAATGAACAGCTTAACATCATACGCAAACATTAGAATTTTGGAAAACCCTACAACTGACGGAAGATCATTGAGATAGAGAACGAAAAGTAATGGCCCTAAATGGCTTCCCTGGGGAACACCAGAATGGACTAGAATATTTTTTGAGATGGTATTTATGAAAGACACCTCTTGAGTGCGGTTTTCAAGGTATGATGAAATCCAGTCTAACAATAATGTTGGGAAACCCATTATATCAAGCTGTGGAGTAAAAAACTATGTACGACAGTGTCAAAAACTTTACTAAAATCGGTATAAATTACATCAATTTGAAATGTATTAGCAAAACAATTATGAACATAGCATGTTAATTCCATAAGATTAGTCAAAGTTGACCTACCTCTGATGAAACCGTGTTGACACGGTGAAAAAATTGGCGCCACAAAGTGTGTTAGCCTACGCGAAACCAAAAATTCAAAAAGTTTAGGTATTGCACTAAGCTTAGCAATACCCCTATAATTTTCAATATTGCAACGACTACCAGTTTTATGGAGAGGAATTATATAACTAGATCTCCAAAAATAAGGAAAGTAGCCTAAAGATAAAGAGTACTTAATGCCTAAGTGGTATGTACAATTCAATTGCGCATAATTTAAGAACGTTTGCCGGTACTCCGTCTGGACCTGGGGAGATGGAACTTTTTAAAGTTTTTAAACCATTTAAAACCTCTTCTTCCGTAAGCAAAATTTGGGGCAAAAAATTCAATCTATTAATGTTAAAGCTGTAATTGCTGGTTGAAGCAAATGTTGAATAGCTATTCTATAAAAAATCTGCGAACATTTTTGCAATATCAGAATCATTGGTAGCCTCTGTGCTGCCGAATTTCATACAATTGTCTAAAATATGGTATTGGTAGTACGTAATGGGTTCTAGCTCTTGTCTACGTTTTCCTATAGCGCTCGAATAACGGTATTCGGATATACGATATTTTGATGATTTAAGCCACATTTTCTAATAGATTTGTGTGAAATTTGGTCTTTGTACTTCATAATGGGTTCTAAAACCGGTGTCAAAACATTGTCCATATTGATCAACGGTTTCCATACAACGGTTCGAAATTAGATATTTGATATATAGGCCGATATTCGGTATTTTAATAGTCCACCACTATATTGCATACTTTTAGTGCATTCTCCTACCGAACTTACTTTTGTTTGTAATTTAAAGTGCAACACGTTTGAATACAGATATAAAAATGTTTTCTTTACCTAATGGTTCCAGCCGAACTTATTTTAAGCTTAATACATAAAAATATAGATTTTAAACTCTTCGTCTTAAGCAGACATTCTCGGTGGCAGAATAACCGGCTGAAAAATGATGACATTTTTTAACAATATCTGCTGCATGGATTCTGTATAAAACTACATCTTACGCTGATGAAATTAAAGCCAATTCGACTGAAAATTCGGGATGACAGTCTGTTACCAGCATTAAAGCAAAACAAGCCGCCTTATTGTCGATCTTCATATTTGTCCTAGCTGACGCAAAATTATACTTTACAACAAAACTCAACCATTCCATAATCAAGCCTTACATGACTTATGAAGCTAATATTTTATTGATTTATTCTTCCTTGAATTTTATACCCTCCAAAAGGCGTGAAAATGACAAAATGTTTGGTCAGAAATAAATCCAAATTTCTTACCAGCTGTGCGCTCATATTTAAGACATTACCTTGGTAACTATGCCATGGGAAAAAAAAAACCTAGTTACTGGACCGATTTATATAGATTATGTATACTTCATGTGAAAAACTATCAAAATTAATCCGTTCAACAACAACTGAACACAGCCGATTTATTTCGCTGCTTGTTTCATTAAGATGTATATCTCCTGAATGTCTTGAATGCACCCAGGGCATTTACAGGCCAAGATTCACAGTAATAGAGTTTGAATTTACTTACTCTGTAACATCGATTCGAAGGAAATCTGTATAGATCAGCAACAATTGTCCACCCAAGACATAGCCTACCGCCGGTCCAAGCATTGTCATTGTGTAGTAGGTGCCTTTGGAAGGAAAAAAGAAAAAACCGAATTACTAAAATTACAATTACAAAATCATATTGAAAATTTTATCTGTCACCAGATTGGAAATTGGCACAGCATTCAAAGCATTTTATTACATTACAAAGGGTCATGGCAATTATGTACTGTGTGCGTACTTACGAACCCACGCACATACGTAAATATGTTTCAGCCAGGGTTGGGCATATTGCACTAAATTTTTAGTGCACTAAGAATTAAATAATTAGTGGTAGTGCAAGTTTTAATTCCACTACCACTATAGGGTTAGTGGTAGTGAAAAATAAATTGCACTACCACTAACCCTTTAGTGATATTTAAAAAAAAATTGCACTACCACTAAATTTTAGTGGTAGTGAAATTTTATTAGCACTACCACTAAATTTAGTGATTTTTTAAATAAAATTTGCACTACCACTAAATTTTAGCGAAGCCAAAAAAAGCACTATGTATTTAAGTATTATACCAGCTATAATGAAGTTTATTGAAGTGAGTAGGGAACAACAATCCAGAATATATAGTACATATTCATAAAATTTGATTACTTTTTTAAATAGCACTAATCTAGTGCTATTTTTTATGAAATACCACTAATTTAGTGCAAGTTTTTTTAAATACCACTAAATTTAGTGGTAGTGCTATTGAAATTTCACTACCACTAAAATTTAGTGGTAGTGCAATTTTTTTTTAAATATCACTAAAGGGTTAGTGGTAGTGCAATTTATTTTTCACTACCACTAACCCTTTAGTGGTAGTGGAATTAAAAATTGCACTACCACTAAATGAACAGTGATAGTGAAATTATTAGTGCACTAAAAATACAGTGCATTATGCCCATCTCTGGTTTCAGCTCATAAAGCAGCTGACATATCTTGGGGGCATCGATAGAAAGAAAGCACTATTTCAATATCAAGTGAGGCATATAAAATTGTCTACAAATCGCAAACGCAAACCCATATCCCGACCGGTTGCGAGACAAATTAGTTTCTGTCTTTGTCTGCAAATGTCTTATTTTTTGTTGTCATCGAGGTTTTCGATTATCTTAACTGGAAACCAATAAATTTTCTAATATTTTCAATTCGATGTTTACATTGAGGCACTTGCTCGACAGCACAAAGCAACTGAAATTGAAATTGAAACTGAAACAGAGATGGAAACAACAGATCAAATAGACGGCAGACAGACAATGTGTTTGAATAGGAAAAAATAGAAAAAAGTTGTGGATATGGTGAGACAAGCGGAACATACGCACTGCCATGGAAATCGCCCCCTCAATGTCTGATGACAACAGCCACAAGGGGGTGGAGAACAAAAAATGTTGGTGATGATGCAAACCCCCATCGCAAGTGTCATATTCGAATGGGGCAAAAGCTTATTATGCAGCAGTAGCATCAACGCATATCGTTCCATCAACATATGTATTTGTGTGTGGGTGTGTGTGTCTGTGTGCCCGTCTGCGTTTTGCCGAATCAGCAGTTCCTAAGGATTCGTTTAATAAGCTGGAAATTATTTAGTTGCATGGTGACGAGTCAACAATGCTTTACGCATATCCTTTGCCATTCTTTAAACTGGGTCAGATATAAACACTCCATCATCCATTCAGGCAATTCGTCTTATTCCGGCTAAGTGAGAAATGGAGGGGTAGAATGAGTCAATGGGTTACTAGCCGTTGTTATTTACCCCATTGAACATGCCTCCTTTTTTAAGTTTATTGTAAAATGTACTTGGTTTCACTGTCTGTCTGTGTCGGTCAAATATAGGCGGTTAATCTACATTCATAATATTTACGTCTGTATTGCCAATAACAGGCAGCAGTGAACATAAATGCACACTCTTTGTCCGGAGAACTTCCACTCTTAGCTTCTTTCTATGTTTTTCGTATGCCACATTGCTGTCTTTATTAACTTGGCTTATAGCTCTCCCAAATGATCATGTTAGTAATTTTGTTTTGAAGTTTTCTATCATCCAGCAAGAAATGTGCAATTTGAAACACTACGTTTTTTAATTGAAAATATCAAAATGTTGAAATCCGTATTAAATATTGCAGACCAATCCTTTATAATCTTTGAAAATACCTGAAATCGGAAGTTACCGTCATATGGAGACTATACAAATATGGTAGCCCATAAGGCTTCAAACTTATCTAAGCTCGGAGAAAATACAAAATGTTAGCTCTCTCAATCTCAATATCTATTAGCTCTGATATAGATATATCAAGGGCTTCCACGACAATAACCGTGTGTCGCCAGGGGATCTTCATGCGCACATGAATTATGACATTGGCCAGAGAAGGCATAGTTCCTAAAGAATAAGGACACATATCAGAACGTAACACTTTTCTTAACTATTGGAAAGCCAATTGACATGAATTCCGAGAATATACCAATTTCTGCCCCAGAAAATTGTTCCTGAAAACATCATCAGGAAACTGGCTTTTAAAGTAAAAAAAGGCTAGGTTGCGAGCATAACGGTGAAAGTGGATAGAGCATCTGAAATAAGTTCGTGTTGACAGATCCGTAGAGCTGCGCCAGTTATTTTAACCGGAAGTTCATAGAGCACCCGAGGGTGGCAGGGCCATTAGAAAAATACTACACGGTACAGCCGAGGAGTCACCACACCCATTTACGATGGTCGATGTTGCATATGTCATCAGAAGCATAAAGTCATCCAAAGCGCTTTGTCCTGACAGAATCTCCATGGTGATGTTGAATCAGCTAGCCAAACATTCGTTGAGTAGTTAACTAAACTCTTACACTTGCCGTTAGCCATTCTAATAGTTCCTCAAGCCTGAGAAATGGACAGGGTATCCAGAAACAAGAAGTCTAAGATTCCTAAAATGATAAGGAAATTCCCCAAGGTGTGGAGATATCTCAGGAACTGTCACCATCATGAGGAGGCGAAGGTCTTACTATGGGGCCAATGCCATGTTTTTGGGGCAAAAAATCACAGGGAATAGATACAACTTCCAAATTTCTTTCGAATTGGCAAAAATATAGATATTGCTCGCACATATAACTTCCATCCGATTTGAGATTTAGACCCCTCAGAGTCGTAATATCATCTCTATAATAATGATATTCCCTACATGGTATTAGATACAACTTAAAAAAAAAACTTTTGACAAATTTTGTCGAAATCGGTTCAGATTTCCATATAGCTCCCATATATATTTCCCTCTATATTAAATTCGATTAAATTCCGTCAAGATTAAAGTCTGCCATATTTGAATTAAATCAATTCCTTTATAGCTCTGATATATATGTTTTATGCGATTTTATATGGCATAATATACCCTCTAAAACAATGACATTTGGTACAAGAGGCCCAGCATGTCTTTTGTCTTTTCCATACTCGTTCCAATATGTAGGTGACAAGGACGGATCAGATGAATCTACTAACTTGAAGACTCTGTCTGAAGCCAACAATACCTTTTTATCTTAAAACACGTAAAATAGCTGTAAGTTCTGCCGGGCCGAACTTTGAATACCCTCCACCATTTGGAACGAATTTGGCAATTCTAAAAAACAATAAAATCCGTTAAAAATTCTGTTAAAATCTGAAAAATACCGAATGTAGCTGTTATATTAGGGTCTATACGACGACATGAACCTGCATAGGTAACATTTGTCATAAGCCATTACAATATTCAAATGCGAAACTTAAAAAAATCGGTTATAATATCGATAAAATCAAAATACCGAATATGGGTAGGTACCGTTATATGGGGCTCAACGAAGACGTGGCTCAAAGTACAGACAATTTTCTGTCTTAGGCTGTAGTATCCATTACGAACATCAAATACCAAATTTGAAATATTTCCGGTGAATAAATTCGCTAAAATCATCAAAGTAGCGAATATCGGGAGGTAACGTTAAATGTCATTCAATCGGGAATGACGTTAAATTTTTCATGGTCTTAAAATATTGATCGACAACATTTAATTCACATATTGCTAAAATCTTCGTTATTACATTTGTGAGGTATCGAATATTTTCAACGCAAATGTCATGGTAAAATTAGTACAGGTAACAGCAAGTCCCAGCTGATTTGACTCTATAGTAATACTAGTGTCAAACTAGATATGACGTTTTGTGATTTAATTCTATTTCTTGATATACAATAGATATACCCATGGTACAATGAAGACAAGGTAGGCTATCTTTGAGAAAATTGCAAGTATAAAGATCTACAACTTGTTGCATTGATTTTGAATAAATAATTTAAAACCGCGAAAACTGAATGAAAGGTCAAAATTTCTTTTCAAAATCACGTTCTATATATCTCTTATCGCGACAAAAACTGTAGATTTTGTCGATGCATACGTTACAATAAGCATTTTGAAAACACCCGAATTTGAATATTTTCTGAACAATTTTTTTTATTATTGAAAAGAATACACACACATAGGCAAATGAAGTTTACATATTAAGCCAGAAAAATAAAAAAATTAAATATGGCATATGGTAGTTCTGCCAATGGTACAATAAAGAGAAGGTAGGTCAACTTTGAAAAAATTGCAAGTATAGAGGTCTACCTGGTTGGCTTGTAATGTCAGAATTAATTTCAAAACAATAAAAAAACAAACAACTTGTTGCACTTATTTTGAATAAATAATTGAAAACCGCGATAACTGAATGAAAGGTCATAGAGGTCTACCTGTTTGGCTTGTAATGTCAGGATTGATTTCAAAACAATAAAAAAACAAACAACTTGTTGCACTTATTTTGAATAAATAATTGAAAACCGCGATAACTGAATGAAAGGTCCACACTTCTTTTTAAAATCATGTACTATATATTTCTAAAGGATTATTTCGCTACAAAAACTCTAGATTTTGTCGATGCATACGTTGAAATAAACATTTTGAAAACACCTGAATTTGAATATTTTCTGAACAATTTTTTTGTTATTGAAAAGAAAACACATACATAAACAAATAAAGATGACATATTACGCCAAGAAAATAAAAAAAATTAAAATCATATGGTATCATAGCCTTACCTTGATATCATTGTACCATGGATATACCCTTTTTGATATTAAATTTCACTGCAGGGCTGTGTGAACATATTTTTTGCCTAATAATAGAAAAAATCGCCGTTGTACTTAACAAAACGCCATAGGCGATGGTTCGGAATTTTTTTTTTTTTGCGGTTAAGGAACCACGTTAGATAATATATTCGTATATTTCATGTTTCCTAAAATTGCAAAATGTGGAATACTTTAGGTATGTATGCTGTTTGGTTTCAACTTGAATGGGATGTTGCCTCTTCCACGATTTTCTAGCGATTGCTTGAAGTGTTGCGAGATTAGCTAACAACTATACATTCAGGGGAATATGTGAAAGCATTAAAATTAAATATTTTAAGAACTATTCTTCTGCATTTTCAATTGAATAATACATATTCCCAAAATGTATATTTTTGAAATTAAAATAATTTTTTTACATTTTGGACACATAAATCTTACACTTGTATTACCTACAAAAACAAATTTGTATTTGGTTGTTGTTGCACAACAACACTTGCTGTTACCTGTATTATTCTACCATGGGCAAGTGTTAAAAATTATATGAATTTTGGATCCTTAAGCTACTTGTTTTTTTTTTCAAAAAGTGCAAATTGGTGCAAACTTTTTTAAATATCATCGAACAATTTATTACCTTTCACCAGATGTACGTTGTTACCCAAATACGCCCAAATACCGAAAGTTCTACTCCAAATGGCACACAGACGAAAACAACCTTTTGTTGTTTTTATAAAAAAAACAACGTTTGTTTATTACGAGGAAATATTGTGTGGGTCCCGAAATGTAGGAGGGACAAGAACCTTTAGCTACACACAAAGAAAGCGGAGAAACTATATGTGTATTTTTAGAAATCTCTGTCCCCCACATTCGAAAAAAGCTGAAGTTTTGAATTTGCAATATTAGGCTGCTTGTGCGCCATCTTATTCTGTTTGGCAATATTCTCTTGTATTCACCTATTCATAAGGAAGGATGGAAAACATGTTGATATGTTGATGAAGAAAATCATGAATCTACATTATGGGGTCTTAAAATGCTCAAAGACAGGTGATGGACAAAATAGACGAACGGCGCCTTTCCTGGCGTAGAATAGCGGTATAATGCCGCTACAAAACTACATAAGATCAATATTGGCCACCATGAGTGACATTTTTTGGGCTTGCCTTTGAATTACCTCAAGATAATCTATAGGGGCTTTTTAGATAATATACCATCGAAGGCCAAGTAGTTTTTATATAAATATTTTTTATGACCCACCTCCTTCCAGCTCTACTAAAATTACGCGACGAAGGAGTGCTCTGCAATGATGATCGATTAATGTACTACCATCGTTTCAAACTTTTAAGGCATATTTATATTACCGTATGTTGTTAAAACAATAAAATAATTTAATAATTGCCTAGCTATACAATGCGGCACTAATATATTCTTAGATATCGTGTATTCTCCTACATTGCACAGTGGTCGAGGTCGCATGGGAACAGCGGCCAAAAATACTTTCAGTGCAGATATCAATATGAATCTTTTGTTATGGTACATTGATGGGATAAAAATAAAAAAATGTGACAAAATGGATATGGTCGAGGCATGTTTTGGCTTGGTCCCCTTACAACGTACCTCCCGAATAAGGGTTATTTGTCCAATTTTCGTCACATTTCTACACAAGATTGTTCCGTTATTTGACATTTTACGTTCTAAAGACCTAAAAAATAGTCTTATGCCATGTTTACGTTAGAAGTTTTTGTACGGTTAACCTATTTTGAGGGGATTTATTTGAAGTGAAAGTAATGGATATGACAATTTAAATCCAAATCCAGTGGGTTAACCCTCATATATATAAACGTACTATTACTGAAAATTATTTGGAACTGCCTGCCTTCAGGTAGAGTCCCTCTGTAAAGGTACCTCCAAAAATAGAAGTATTTTTATACAAATCAATTCCAAATTTGATTATTTTTTTGTAAACAAAATAGACAATTTTTTTGTAAACAAAATAAACAATTCAAAATAAAATTAAATCAAAGTTACTAATGGATATATATAAATTTCAGTGTTATTCAAGTAAATCAAATGCAGATTTTAATAATATATTTTATTGTTTGGTAACGTTCGCTGTCCCGTTATAAAAGGGTCAGAGCTCAGAAGAAAACGGTTAATAAGATCTGTGTTTGTTGAAACACGAGCATTTTTTCAGGTATGATTTAGTCGAAACTTTTTTATATATTTGTTGGCAGACTTCGCGGCCTCCCTATAATTCTCCAATCGATACAATGACATATTTTATAAAGTCGGGAGCATGTATTAAAATTTTATGAACTGTGGGTGTAAGATAGTATCATGGGTATCTATTTGTTAACTCTTTAGCAGTTTCCAGTGTAAAGTCCTTAAATCTTTCGACATTAATATGGCATCCGGAAGTCAATCCTTGTAACAATATTGAACACCTCTCATTTACATCTTTATCAATCCAAACAACAAAAACATATTCTATGTCATTAGCACCATAGAATTGACAAAATTGCAGCGAAGTCACTTCAGTATATTGGGCATAACATACAAATCTGACAAAATCTGAAAGTTAAATTAGCACTTCAAGAATCTTAGGACCATTACTAATTGCGTGAAAAAAATCACATTGGAGGATTCAGGGGGGAAAACAATTAAAACTTTAACTGAAATCCAATTTTATTTTCAAAATTAATCTTAAAGGCAACTTAGAACACTCACATCGTCCATATTATACCCAACTACTAAACACACAAATTACTGCACTAAAAATAAGTCAATACCTTGCTTATCGATAATTATACCAAGATTTGTCTTTTTAAAATGTATTTAATTTTGTTATACAGATCTATTTTTACTCCACTTTTTCACTGATCCCACTGAAAAAAGCAACTAACTGCATTTCCTCTTTTTTGATGCTATTCTCGAAGTGGGCCGTTAGAATGAAGCCAAAATTATTATGTTTTCTAAAAAGCTTAACCTCTTAAGAGTTCATGTGTACACATTTGATAATAAATATCTGATTTTCATTTTTTGAATTTTGGCCAATGGCAGTGACCACTGTGCATTGTAAGCCTCATGGCAAAGGACAATGTTTTCTTATTAAACTATTTTATACTGCAGCTATTAAGTATATAATGTATAATCTGACAATTTAATATAAATAAATGGCAAATTTAAAAGTAAAGACCCACCTCCTTCTTGACTTCTTGGGGTTACAAAAAATTGTCCACGGATTAATAATACTTTTCTCAGCAAAATCTGCGATACCAAATAGCGTCTTAAGAATGGTATATAAATGGTCAAGATAAATGTTATCCCCAGAAAAAATAATGCGGATAGTTAGCTGGTACAAGAGGCCCAGCAAAACTGGCCTCATAGAAAAACAAAGAACAAGATTTATGCATTGGGTCAGACTTGATGAGTTCGACTGGGTTATACACTTGACTGACTCGGCAATTCTTCAAATCCCCTAAATTTGGAACATCCGTAATATGAGAAGAAAGTTCCTTTTCAAGAGGAGTTAATCCATGATTTAATATTATTCTCGGACCACCAATAGCCCGAAATGTTTAATTTCAGGCACTTCTATTAGAACATTTTCCAAAAAAGTTAACTTCAAATCGGGGTTGCTATTATATGGGGACCTTCCTACATGTGAAGCAACATAGCTCAGCGGCGAAAAACAATGACTATTCGCAAAATCTTAGCTTCCAATCTCAATATGCTAGAATATAAGATTAATACCATCATACAATTAAAAGGTATGGGAGAGCTATCAGCTGATTAAATTTTTTCGAGAAATAAAAACAAATTATTTTCAAAATCAATGATTTGAAGAAACGTATATTGCATTACATAACATTAAAGAGATGTACTAGTTTCACAGGGTTCAATACCAGAGAACAGTTCGGTTCATATTTTTGGTAGAAAATCCAGGCATTTCATTCATCTTTCGCACTTTTCATTCCCTTTTTAAAATTTAGAAAAATAAAAAAAAAACAGAACAAGGTTTTACATTTAATTATGAACAGTTCTGGCAGGAAGCCGGCATAGCCTCAGGGCTGTATTTCAGTAGTTTTACCTCATTATTATACTAAGGCTAAAACGTTTTGGAGTCTATAATAACCACTTTCATGATTTACAAACGGAATAACAAACTTCATATACCCTCCATTCAATAGTGGAAATACAATGTCTTAACTACCTCGAGTAGTTCACCTTCGGATGCAGCCACACTGCAAATAAATTTCAAATAAGAAAATACAACTGTATGTTTGTATGTATGTATGTGTGAGCAAAGGGAAATTCCCACAATAGAAGTACGAAAATAATGTTTACTTATGTCTAGCACCGTCAACTACCGCTAGCACCCGCTGACGACGAGATATGCCTTAGCGGGAGAACATCTGACAAAGCCAAAATTTGCAAATAGAAATTTATGCTTCACTTGATACGCTTATTAGCCACCATCCTGCCGCCCATGCCAAGATGTGGATGCAAAAATAAAACTTACCCAAATACACGGATGACATTTTCTTTGAAACGTTCTCGTCGATGTAGGTAACACCCAGGGTGAACAGGGGCGAAGCTCCGGCCCCATGCAACAACTGAGCAGCAAAAAACAACCACACTGTCCAGGTTAGATTATCACCATTGGCATCACCCGTTTCATCAGCTACGTAGTCTCGATCCGATGTTATGTCGGTGATAACCACATCACAGGTCTGGCCATGGCGAAGAAAATTATTGTTAAGCAAGGTCAAGGGGGTTTAAAATATTTACATTTAAACTTACCTGGAGGTTGGTATTATTGCCATCGATGATTGAGTTGCAGGTGCTGGTTGTTGGCAATGTGGCCCGGTAGGGTCCCACCAAGAAATGAGGCAGAGCAAAAGTTAGCGAGCCCAGTCCCAGCAATACAACACCCCAGGCAATAATACGTGGCTTAGAAGCCCCCATGCGTCCGCCAAAATACGTCACCGGAACCAAGCACAAAAACGAGGCTATATCATAGCCGCTTGCCACCAAACCCGTCTGGCGGGAACGCAGTCCAAAGCGTCTTTCAATTGTTGTAATTACTACATTGATGAATCCATTAACTATGAGTCCTGCCAAGGCAATAGACGAGAAAGAGGTCATGTTAGACAGTCACTTTAGAAATGCAATAGAATTATTTTCAAATTGAATTGAATATACTGAATCGATGTCACTTCTGGGTGCATCTCATCAAAAGTGAACGTTTCTTATCACCATCAGACAGGCGAGTGAGTGGCAGCCTGGAGTGATGCTGCTTGGGCATTTGTGGCATCTTCAAATGAACTTCTTCCTCTTCCTAGACAAATTAACGTCCTTTGTGTGTTGCAATACGTTTACAATATGCATACATACTTGTATGTCCAAATGGGATCGTAGGATAAATAATTATTGCTCGGGGCTATACACCTTATATGAGTGTCATATGTAAAGCGACTTTTCAAACTTTTAACTTTAGCTTTTTATACCCTACACCACAAGGTGGTCAGGGTATTATGTCTTTGTGCATTTGTTTGTAACAGGCAGAAGGAAACGAGATAGACCCATAGTTCCTTTTGATGATCGGCATAGAATCACATTCTGAGTCGATTTATGCATGTCCGTCCGTCCGTCTGTCCGTCCGTCCGTCTGTCCGTCCGTCCGTCTGTCCATGTATTTTTGTAAACAAAGTACAGGTCGCATTTATTGCCCGATCCAGATGAAATTTTGCACAGATCATTTGTTTGGCCCAAGGACGAACCCTATTGAAATTGGAAATAATCGGTCAAAATTTAGATATAGCTCCCATATATATCTTCGTCCGATTTGCCTTTTATTGCGCACCAAAGGTGTAATATCAGCCCGAATTGTATGGAATTTTGCACGTACGATCAGATTGGACCTGAAAATAAGTATGCCAAATTTGATCGAAATCGGTTCAGATATAGCTATAGCTCCCATATATATTGTTCATCCGATTTTCTTTTTTTGTCCTCCGCAGCCGTAATATGCACTCTGTAACAACAATATTTGGGTAAATATATCAAATACAGCTCAGAAATACATTTGCTAAATTTTATCGAGATCGGTTCAGATTTGGATATAGCTCCCATATATAACTTCGTCCGATTTACCTTTCATTGTGCACCAAACGTCTAATATTTGCCCAAATTGGATGAAATTTGGCACTTACGACCGAATTGCGTCTAAAAGCTAGTATGTCAAATTTGGTGAAGATCGGTTCAGATATAGCTATAGCTCCCATATATACTGTTCATCCGATTTGTCATATTTGTTACTCACAGCCGTAATATGCACTCCGTAACAACGATATTCAGGGAAATATTTCAAATACAGCTCAGAAACCTATTTGCTAAATTTTATCGAGATCGGTTCCGATTTGGATATAGCTCCCATATATATCTTTATCCGATTTCAAATTAATTGAGCACCAAACGGGCAATACAAGTCCGAATTTAAAAGATGCAAATGCTTCGGCATATTTAGTTGCTTAAACTTTAGACTATAATTATAATCATAGCGTGTATGATTGAATTCTCCCATAAAAACTTTTAATTGTTATGCGGAGCTCTAAATTAGTAAAGTGGTGTAGGGTATCATAAAGTCGGCCACGCCCGACTTTAAGACTTTCTTTACTGGTTATTGAATACTTTTAGGCGCTCACAAAAAAAAAAAATGTTGAACAATACGTATATACTTATCAGAGGGCTGCAATGGGCATGATTCAGTTGGCTCGATAACACTTGGTGGAAATACTATCAAACTCGATCAGTCGGTCAGATGTAACATGTTTAGTCGAGATGCTCAAGCGAAATGAAACGAAAGTTGTGAGCAATCACGAACTGATCGAAAATCTGTGTTCGCAATCAAACAGCTCACAATGAGTGATTTGTGTACGAACTAATGTTGAATTGTTCATGACGGAGCAATCATCTATGCCTAGGTAGCATCATCTATGCATAGGTAACATTTGTCATAAGCCATTACAATATTCAAATGCGAGACTTAAAAAAATCGGCAACAATGTAGCTAAAATCATCAAAATACCGAATATCGGGAGGTACCGTTATATGGGAGCTATATGAAAACGTGAACCGGCACAGACAATTTTACGAACCTCAAATACCAAATTTGAAACAATTCCGGCGAATAATGTCGCTAAAATCATCAAAATTCCGAATATCGGGAGATACCGTTATATGGGGGCTATACGAAGACGTGGACCTGCACATTTGAAAGAATTCCGGTGAATAATTTCGCTAAAATCAACAAAGTACCGAGTATCGGGAGATACCGTTATATGGTAGCTATACGAAAACGTGAACCTGCACAGACAATCTATTACGAACTTTAAACACCAAATTTGAAACAATTTCGGTGAATAATGTCGCTAAAATCATCAAAATTCCGAATATCGGTAAAAAAAGCTGACAAATAAAAGTTTGAATAATCCAAAAATGTGGTTTTAAAATTCTATTTCATAGACCTTTCGAATTAATTGCATACTGCCATAGCGGTTGAAATTGCTTAACATTGGAAACTATGTTGTTGCCATGGGACAAATATACATTTTTTTTCTTCTTGTGCCCTTATTCTGTCAAAACACATACACAGTTTGTATATGTGTGTGTATTCATGGTACAATAAGAAAAAATTTGTAATCAGCTGGTAGCTCTACCTTACCTTTTTACTGTACCATATGTGCATTGCTTTGAATAAAAAAGGAAATAATTTGAAATATTTGAAATTAAAATATATAACTTTGGGATAAACAATCTTCTCCCACTATCTTGGATTCGATCTTGTGAAGAAACCTCAATATTCCATTTAAGTTTTGTGGGGTTTCGACCATAAAATAATTTTGGGAAAAATGTTGAATAAACAAAACCAATTGTTGCATCTACTTGACAAATAAGACAGCGGACAGAGTTGTATTTTCCTATTTTCCTTGAAGTTGAGCAACCTTTCCTACTGAGCCAAGGTTGTTACGATATCATAACAATCGAGGTATTTACACCTGCTGTAGTGGAATTCTCTAACTCATTTTTTGAGTTACCGACAAAAGTTGGTAAAATTAAAATGCTCATAATTTCGGTAATTTACGAAGTTTGTCGGTAAGTTAGCGACGAAATCAAAGTGGTGGCTAAGATCTACCGATAGACACCAATGCTGTAAGCTTTAACTTATTTTTTATATCAAAATTATTGGTTTTAAGGTTATCAATTTTTGTCGGTAACTCAAAAATGAGTTAGAGAATCCCACGGCTGTTGACAAAATTTTGACTCTGTCTAGGCCTATCTTTATACTTCTATGTCTTAGATTCATAGTGGTGTTGGGTATCATAAAGTCGGCACAGCCTGCATTTTGCCTTCAATTACTGCTTGCCAAATGTTGTTATAAAGATTTCTTCGGGAAAATCCATGGTAGAAATACTAGGTCAAAGATATAGAAGTATAAAGATGGGACAAGACAGAGCCAAGACATGGCAACCCTGTGAAAATACCTCTGTTGTTATGATATCGTAACAACATAGTTAGCAATGTTATGCGATTTAAGCCGATTACAAAGATCTAAAATGGTAAAGACTACACAAAATGCATTCTGAGCAAATGGTTTGTGGCTATACTACCTTGAATAACAGCTCATGACAGAGGCATGTTAATATAAACAAGTAAAAAAACATTAAGTTCGGCTGGGCCAAACTTTTAATACCCTCCACCTTAGGGTAAAAGAAACATTAAAAGAAATGTGGCAAAAACCATTAAAATGCCGAATATCGGAAGGTACCGTTATATGGGGGCTACACCAAAACGTGGACCTATAATTACAATGTTTCGCCACACGAACTAGGACCCATTATGACCCACAAATACTAATTTTTAGACAAATCAGTGAAAAAATGTGGCAAAAACCATCAACATACCGAATATCGGGAGGTACCGTTATATGGGGGCTATATCAAATCACGAATCCATGCATGCAATGTTTCGCCACCGAAGCTGGAACCCATTATGACCAACAAATACCAATTTTCAGACAAATCCGTTAAAAAATGTGGCAAAAATCATCAAATTACCGAATATCGGGAGGTACCGTTATATGGGGGCTATACCAAAACGTGGACCTATAATTACAATGTTTCGCCACACGAACTGGGACCCATTATAACCCACAAATACCAACTTTTAGAAAAATCAGTGAAAAAATGTGGCAAAACCATCAAAATACCGAATATCGGGAGGTACCGTTATATGGGGGCTATAACAAATCATGGACCCATACATGCAATGTTTTGCCACCGGAGCTGGAAACCATTATGACCCACAAATACCAATTTTTAGACAAATTCGTGAAAAAATGTAGCAAAAAAACTAAAATATCGAATATCGGGAGGAACCTTTATATGGGGGCAATACCACAACGTGGACCTATACATGCAATGTTTTGCCACACGCTCAGGGATCCGTTATGACCTACAAATACCAATTTTCAGACAAATCCGTGAAAAAATGTGGCATAAATCATCAAAATACCGAATATCGGGAGGTACCATTATATGGGGACTATACCAGAACGTGGACCGATATATCTCATTTTCAATACCAACCATCCTAGACACAATGCAAATAGCTCTGCTAAATTTTGGCGCTCTACGTCAAATAATGTGGGCTGTATCGTGATTTCAACAGACAGACAGACGGACATCGTTAAATCGACTTAGAATTTTATGCTGATTATGAATATATATACTTTATGGGGTCTAAGACGAATATTTAAGGATGTTACAAACGGAATGACAAAGTTAATATACCCTCCTTTCCAAGGTGGAGGGTATAAAAACGCAATTTTAGGAAAGAATGACAAATAAAAGTTTGGATAATCCAAAATATTGGTTTCAAAATTCTATTTCATATATCTTCCCAAATAATTGCATACTGCCTTAGCGGTTTAAATTGCTTAACATTGATAACTATGTTGTTACGATATCATAACAACAGATGTATTTTTCACAGGGTTGCCATATTTTGACTCTGTCTTGTTCCATCTTTATACTTCTATGTCTTAGATTCATAGT